CTTGTAGATAAACAAAATGAGGAGAAGGGTAGAGGGAAGAGGGGAGGGGGGAGGGGGAAGGGGTGAAAGGGCTTCCTTCCCTAAATGCCAACTAAACACTGTTTGCCATTTTGGGAGCTATATGTAACACAAATGTAATGTTAGGTTGTTGCCATTTTATCCGTTGTAGGTACTTCTTTGAGCCAGCAAGTCAGCAGTGCAAATCAATGATCTTCTTGGGATGTGGCGGCAATTCAAACAATTTTCCTACAATGGATATGTGTTACAACTTCTGTGCCAGTTCAGGTACCAATTGCATGGAATATTATTTATTCTATTACTCATGTTATTACTAGCCAGTTAGCTTTGAAACTAACTACTCAAACTCTATAAAAAGTAGGGCAGAAATTATGGGTCGTTGTCGTTATAAGTTGTCGTAACTTTTTTTCTGCACGATTTTTTAAAAATTTTTGGTAAAATAAGCATATTTTTCGAAAGCCCTTTTTCTGCTTTACAAAGCCTCGTTCACTGATCTCCCAAGTCTTTCAAATTCTCTTTGATTTTCGAGTGAAACATGGAGAGCCGGGGAGAGAAAAGTTTTACCCATATAATTTTTGTTTTTGACTGAGGCCAAAAAGTTGAGAGCGGGTTTATATTTGTTCCGTTATTGAGAAGCCGTTTTTAGCACGGCTTAGGGTTGCTTTACTAAGTAAAGTTCTGACCGTGAAGGGAACTTTACGCGAATATTTATAGGTTTAACCATTTCAGATACTTCAACCTTCATTATAATTCGCAGACTACTTAACATTATCCTTGACTACACTCTAATCATATGCCAAGCCGTCTTTGATAGTGAAGTGTTTCTGAGATCTATGTGAACGGCTTTTAAAATGATCCAACAAAGACCAAATCAAATCGAACTTTTCTAAAGTGGGAGTAGGTCTTGAGCAGACAATAATGTATTAGCTAGCTTATCGTCATCAGTTAAAATTGCCCTTCAGTTAAAAGCTAAATTTGCAGTAAATTTCTTAAAACTCTAAAATCTGCTGTTCATTCATTTCGACAAGTCCGACCCAACATTACATTGTTCAGTAGCAAAATCGGAAGACTTGAAAGAAAGATGGCGTTGTTTTGAAGATAAATAAAAGAGCTATCAGGAGGTATACTTTACTTGCCGCAATTCAAAAAAGCGATAAGAACAACAACAGGAACTTCATACTCAATCAAATAGGCTATCATGCTCTATCGTTTAAGAGCCAAACGCTTAACATTCACAGAAAATGGGAGTTTTATTATTATTCGAAACTTTCCTTGGAAAACTAATTACTGAGCGAGTTTTTAAGTGGTCGTATTAACGTATGGTCTTCATGTACTTGCAGCATGTGCAGCATCTGAAACGGTTTTGCATTCTCTATCTTCTAAAAGCCCATTTGACTGCTTGAGGACACCTTGTCCTTCTGGTTATTCATGTGTGAAAGACGTGTGGAATGCGACAAGAATGGTTTGCTGCGGAACACTGAATACTGGTAAATGTTAAAAATAGGAGTTATGCTGCAGTTTCGTTTAACTCCTTCCGTAGGTGTTTGTCCTGACGGTCTACAACCATTGAACGATCCTCGTACTCTTCTTCCAACACCATGTCGTGCCAATCAGCATGATGCTTGTCCTGCTACATTTCACTGTCTTTATCATCCATTCAGAAGGCGGCATTTCTGTTGTGGCCCGGGGAAACAAGCAGGTACCATCATCGTGCAAGTTGACGTCCATTTAGCAGCACATCTAATTTAAAGAGGTGTGCCCAAATGGAACGCGCATGATTCGTCTTGGAAGTGGAGATCCAATGGGATGCAACATACAGGCCCAGTGTCCTGAAGGAGCACACTGTCACCTTTCTGGCTCTACTTATTCTGGGATTTGCTGCAAGAACCTCTTGAGCAGTAAACTTCAAAGTTTTTACGCATTTTCACACTTGCATGTTCAAGTCTCTTTCAGTTTGCCCACCAGGATTTGTTCTGGATCGAGACACCCAGAGCGAATGTTCTCCACTTGAACGGCATAGTTGTTCATTACCTGGTTCGCTTTGCTTATATACAGAAATACTACAGAGGTAATTGCCTCAGTCGAAGGAAGTGTCTTATTATTTAATCTTTTTTCTCTCTTCAAGGTTTATCTGTTGCAAGAAAGAGCATCCTCTACTAGCCGCACAACGTAAGTTTTCCGTTACACCTAATTGCTTTCAGAGTAGACATGGCCACATGTAGACTGGGTTAGAAAATCTAGTTTCCGTTTAATACGAAAATAAGGTTTTAAAAAAATACTAAGCTGATGATGATGTGGTAGAACTCCCTTGATACCGGCACTTTTTGTTTTATTTCTCCAAAAATCAGTCGAAATTCCTTTTGCAGCATAGAGTCATGATTGAAGATAACAAATTGAAAAATTCGTCAACTCATCTTTATTCTGCTCGCCAAGGAATAGAACATGTCTAAATGGT